ATTTTTAAAATAATCGTTAGTTGCAGCCCTAATATATATGGGCAACTTGGCGTTTCTTGTGATTGAATTGACATAAAGTTTTGCCATCAAAATATCCATATTTTTTTTATGTTACAAAGGTAATAAGGTCCTTTCCTGGAGTCCAATAACACTATTGGCTTGAAATTTGGATTCTCACGGAGTGTCCTATAAAGGGTTAAGTTACAGTGAAAGTGCGTCTGCAGTTGCAATGATAAGTGTTATCCATATAGTTCTGGTTGGAAGGAGGATGCTTCTCCGCGCCATTGCATTCAGAATCTCCTGGTGTTCTCAGCTGCTGCTAAAATTGATATGGTTTCCAAAAACTATTTTGTGTAACAGACTGTATTGACACAATCCACCTCATTTATTATTTATTATTTTCCAACATGTACTCTGTTCGAAACATGCTAATATCTTTACCATCTTAGGTTTGAGGTTATAAAATGGGGAGCGTCAGCCATCTTTTACTGTCGTCGAGAGCAGTTGTACTCAACTTTTTTTTTTCTTTGACTTCTCGAGATAATGATATAACCATCTCGTTATCACGACAAATATTGATTGATTTCTTGAGATAACGACATGATTAACCTGTATAAGTCATGAATGAGGCTGGCCAACAGCCCTGGATTCCCAGTCCATCCATTCCTGCGGGGCCTGTAGTTGTGCAGTCACGGTACCCCATGTGAACAAATAAGCAGTTTTTTTAGTTTCCGTTTTCTTTTCACTCATTGTCAGGTCACGCTGGGTGATTGGATTGCATGGGATACAGTAAAAACAAAATAAATCTGACTGTTTTTTTTAAATGAAAATCTTCAATCTAGACTAATTTTTGGGGTTAATGTATCTTATACCTGTTACAGGTGTACACTTGGGCTATTCTGGGCTGTTTCAGAAAACACGCGTAGCTAAGGAGGAATAGGTCTAATTGCTTATGAATCAGAAGAGGAGGCAAATCATCAAACCAACCACTGCATGAAAAGTGAGATTTTCGTCCCCGTAAACCCCCGTAAGCTCCCGCAGATCTGCCTGATTTTCGTCAGTTTCCGACAATTTGCAACCCGTGCTTGTCCGCGTTTGTCGTGCCACAAATTGT